GTATACATAGTTTTCAATAGACACGATCTTAGCTAGAGTTATTTCCCGTTGGTCGCCATATTGGAGTTCAACAAGCCCAGATTGCTTTATTATTCAACCAGTTTAAACTTGTCATACTTGGAAATGAGGATAAGACAACACAGTTTTTCTTACAAATATATGTTAACAAAAGCTTCTTTTATTTCCTTACTTGAGTAATCTAAAAAAAATTACCCTTATGTTTCTGCCATATATGCTTAAAATTGGTTGCTCAAAGAGGAAACTTCACTGTTTGACCTTCAAGATAGCGGCCAAGGAAAATAACTGGAAGGAAAAATACATTATTAATATACTAAAACAATCTATTGAAGGGTCTTCTCTCTGTGTTGGCGGTCATTTCTTTGCCAGAGACATAAATAACACTGATAATCACTCATCCAATAGTTTGTTTCTCTGGATCTTTACAGCTTTGCCACATTAAAATTCCTTAACCATATTCTTTGTTAGCTCACTTGAGCCGAAGGCTCAAGTGAGTGTTTTTCTGATCAAAGAGTGTCCGGTGTCCGTCTGTCGTCTGTAGTCCGTAAAATTTTCACATTTTCGACTTCTTCTCGAGAACCACTGGGCCAATTTCAACAAACATGCCACAAAGCATCCTTGGGTAAAAGGGATTTAAGTTTGTTCACAGGAAGTGCCGCGCCCTCTTTCAAGGGGAGATAATTAATAACGATTCTCTGTAACCACTTAAACTTCTTTGCCACGCATGGTCACCGATTTTGATGAAACTTTGCCCATTATTACAACTTGACACCAGAAACATATATCAAACAAAATTTCGTTGCTATGTGTCTTGGTTGCCATGGTAACAGCCAGAAAAGTTGAAAAAATTGAGATTTTCCGCTACTTTGAATCTTTATTAAGCCTTAATAAAGACTAAGAAAAACAAACAAACCATTCTCACAAAAACATGACACCTTGTTGCCATTTATACTTTAAAGAAACTATTTAGAATTTATCTCGAAGTAAGTGGTAACCATGGGTACATTTGGAATACATTTTAGATGCTGAAAAACGCTCAATATTAACAAATGATAGATGTTACATGATCAAACTCAATCAACAACTTAAGAAAAACAATAAAAAAATACTTGACCTTATGTAATTAGGTATTGGCAATATTATTCTAAAAATAACTTTCATGGTTGCCATGGTAACACAGTGTTACCATGCAAAATCTGTTGCTATGATTGGGTTAATGCTACTATCTTGAGGAAAAACAATGAAATTCATGACTGGCACATATACATCCTTAGGACCTTGCAACACCAACAAATTGGGATTAATTGTTTTTCTGCAGTGTAACCATGGAAACTACGAACTAGTTGTTTAAAGTGATATATTTTTTGCTGCTTTAGGAATTTACTTACTTTTTAATCGAGAAACATATTATTTGACTAACCTTGAATAGTACTTATCTGGTAGAACTAAAGTTGAATATCATATTTTTATAAAGTTTGTTGAAAAATACAACACTGTTGCTATGGTTACCAAGAAGTGAAAACGTTCAATTTTGTTAATTTCATATCAATATTAAACCCTATGTGCCAGCTTTTTGCATCCAGTTAGAGATTGGGTGGTAGTCAAAATTGAAAGTCAGGTTAGTTATTCATAAATATCAATCATAAAAGTTTTGGGAATCTACATACAAGGGTACGTATCCAAGGAAATATATTTTTCACATTTCTGAGCATATTTTTTTCGGCTAATTTCCAAAGCAGCGCTCTATTTAAAGAATTAAATTTGAAATTTTTGAAATGTGAAAATTAGGGTCACACCAAAGCCTTTAAAAATTAATCATCAGTTATATAGAAATATGTTTTTTAAAAAGATAGGATAAGATTGAAACACTAAGAGAACAAATTAAAAATCCCTTCGTGGTATTAAAACCATGGCAACCATTGCCAACCCATCAGAAGTATCATATTTCGTCCTTGGCATATGTTTCAAGAATCTTTTGTCTATTATTTGCTTGCTTTTCAACCTATAATTGTTTTTATTCTTATGTGTGTGACTTTTTAAAATTAAATGAACAGAATTGTTACTTTTGAATACTTTGTTTCCATAGTAACATATATAATAGTTGGTTTACCAAACATGTTCATCAAATATTTAAGACACCAAACCTTCAACTTTCATTTTAATGAAATTTGCAGAAACAAGGTGTTGTAATCTGAAGTTATTTTATCCGAGAGAATTTTTGGAAATTCCTTTCCGGTGCCAAGTTACGGACCATTTTCTGAATTTAAAAAGACATTTTGTCCACGGATAATCTCAAGAAAGGTAAAAGATATCAATGTGAAACTTTCAAGGATAATAGATCGTGAAAAATACTAGCCGGGACGTGACTTTTTGTTCGTCGTCATTACTTCCGGTCGTTACCAGATGCGAATTTAAAAAGTTAATTTTTTAAAACTTTTTTGATTTTCAATATTTTTCTTCAATAGTAGTAGTGTTAATAGAGGAACTTCTGAAAAATGCTTAATGTGTAATTTGTTTTCAAATTGATAAATCTAAACTCTAGGTATTCGCATTTTAAAATTTGAAGCAGGTCCAAAATGGCGGCTGTCTTCGCAAATTCCGACGAGTAGGTCGGCACTCGGAGCTCCTCGGGCTGCTCGTTCCTCGCACACTAACCTCGGACGTCAATGGTGTTCTACTATATTGCTGATACAATTATGTGATCTTATTTGAAATTCCTCCAAATGTTATACCTTTGAAGTCTGAGTTACTTTGAAGCACGCCCAACACTATGTTTTGCTTTCAAAGACTACTTACATGATGTTGTGATCAAAACCAATATCCAAGGAAGAATTAGACAAGTGAAAAAAAATGTTTGAAGAACTTAATGCAGAGTAAAATATGAAATGAGTTACAAGGCAGTTTCCGGCGGAGAAATGTAATCGATTTGATGCATATTTCTCCACCAATCACTTCCGAGGTTTGTATTGAGCGTAGCGGAGTCAGTCGAGGATTGCCGATTGGCAGGTTGGAGTTTACGGAGACAGCCGAGCGTCTTGTTGAACGAAACTACCATAAGGATCAATGAAATATGAAGGAATATGAAGGAATTGTTGGATCTTTCAGATTACAACCTCCAAATGCAATAAAATGAGTAATTTGTACCATACATACAATAATATATATGAGAATGGAGACCATTCAATAGAACATACATTTCAAAGAAAAGGTGCGAGGATTAACTTGTGACGTAATGTATCCTGACTCTTCTTTCATAGTAGAAAAATAGTCTGATGCAGAAGTGCAGAAAAAGATTACATGGACACGTTTGTATGAAATACAGGTATATGGAATGGCATGGAATGAAAAGTTGAATACACAAAGAATTAAGGAAATAAACAGTATCATCAGTTCAACAGTAAAAGATTATTTGTTATTGTTTAAACTCAAGTAACGAATTCCGATGTGAATCTGCTTGCACAAAATTTGGCTAGCTAGCTCTCATTCTATAATTCCGCACTATATATATATATATATATATATATATATATATATATATATATATATATATATATATATATATATATATATATATATATATATATATATATATAACTTTTAACCTCCCTGACGCTTGTTACTTCAGGCAATGATACAAAGTAAACATCGATGATGGTTGGTAAAATTGCGCTGGTGTAGTGGCTTCCATATTGAATTTTCACGAAGGCGATCTGGGTTTAATCCCGAGTTTGTTTGCTTAAATTTACGTTTTCAACTTTATAAATGATGTTGAGTGATTTTTTTTTGCTAGAGATGATAGAACATGATTTCTAGATTGGCGAAGGGACCTTTTCATGTGTCGTCGTTACTTCCGGTCGCTTCCGAAAGCGAATTTAAAAAAATCGATTTTTCTAACTTAAATATTTTTCTGTAATATTTATATAGTTAAGAGAGTCTCTTTTCAAAATACTAAATATATGATTTGTTTTCGAATTGATAAATCCAAACTCTTGATATTCGTCATTTTCACTTTGAAGTGGGGGTTGTAATGGCGTAATGGTTAACACGCTGGATTTTCACGCTGACGATGAAGCTGCTTACTTATGCATCTATATATCTTATCACCTGCATATTGGGTGAATATCTCTCAGTTGATTCAAAATCATATTCTTGATATTGATATTCCTGTTTGGTCAACTTGTTTGTCATTAACTTATCTCGTTTTAGAAATTGTTCATACGTAGAGCATGCTCTTGCATATCGAATCATCTGAGAGATATACACTTCATATGCAGGTGATAAGGGTATTGCTGCACAAGGAAGGGAAGTTGACGATTGAAAAGTTAAAGTCATTACATTTATCATAAAGGTTACCTTTAAAGTCTTTTTCTAGTAAAATATCCAAATATGAAACAGATGTATCAGACTCTGTGGTATCTTTTGTCTCGATATATCGAGTCCACATATGAATGGAAGTATTGGTAATTGATAATACGTCGTCGATATATCTAAATGTTGAGTTGAAGGCCACAGCAAGTATTTCCTAACTCTCTCTATTCAAAATTTATATGTGTGTGTATATACATGTGTGTATATATATGGACTATTTCTTAGAAAAATAGCTTTTATGAAAATGATCTCATTGGAATCAGGTACGATTATAAAAATAGGCATTGAAATGGTTGGATCTAATAACACTCAACAGAAATACATGTAGCTTTGATATAAAGATAGCCTCTGTAATGAATAATTTTGTAAATTCTGTATAATTTGAAGTTCATTTTTTCTTTTAAATTGTTAAAATAATGAAGTTTTTATTTCTTTTGCTCACGTATCACTCCAATTTTGAAAGATAACAGTACTGTGACAGTCTTATATTACATTCGAGTCAATGTTACAAATATGATCGCTTACTAATATCGGGCTGCCAAAAGTAAAATATAATACCACAGAAACAAGGTAATGACCACTTAGCAATATTTTAATAGTTAATACAAAAGTATTCAACTGAGATATTTGTACAGAGTGAGTGTAGAACTCCCTCTAGATCCGATCAATATATTCTGTTGATCATCAACACATACGACATAATGATCTGATGGAATCTGATTAGGTGTTCGAAGGCTGGTGAGGAAATGTCCGTCTTGATCCAACAGGTGAACGCTGAAGAAGAACGTAATCCCATAATTGCGATCAGTAAACGAATTGCACACCAAAATATGTCCCAAATCATCCGTGCAAATTCCATGAGGAGAAAATCCAGGCTGAGAGTGGTGACCCGAGTAAGTGAATCGAAACTGCCTTAATCTGGTCACAACTACGACTTTATTTGCAGTAAGATCTGAAACACAAATATCGCCATTGATGTTTTCTGAGATATAGTAAATACTCTTGTATAAATCCCCTCCTTCATTATTCTTCTGGATATCCTGGAGCTTCTTCCCTTCCTTGCTATACCTGGTAATTTTCCATTCATTGGTCCTATACATTTCCACTAATATGTCATTATTGTAAGAAGAGGAGATAGCAAATGGTATCCAGAATGACCATGGAAGCCAGTCACTTGTGGAGATTAGTCGAATTAGAGACTGTTTATAAGTAATTGTTTTTCCATTGCTTAATTCACCGAATTGTTTTGATATCTCATCTACGTTGATCTTGCCTCTTGTGAACACCGGTATAATTGGTTCAACAATGTCAGGTAGCAGATCAAGTTCTATCAATGACAGATCCTTACTTAAAACAATTAAATCACTCGGACAACTTGAAGACAATTTACTGTTGTATTTGTTGATTAACTCTTTCAGATTGTTCAAGTGGAGTTCTGCTTTAACTTCTTGGTTTTTCATATCATCCAATTCAGACTTTTCCATTTTATCCAGCTTGGCATAGTTATCATCCAATATAGCATTAATTTCTGCACTTATTTCATCAGCGCTCTTTTTCATAGATAATCTCAAATTAGCAAATCCAGTTTTCAATTTTTCCAGATTTTCTCTTTGTATTGACAATCTTTTCTCGGACTGAAAAAGATCAATGTTCTCGATTTTGTTAAGTTTCTTCTGAACTGCATTGACACTCTCATTGTAAACTTCCTCAAAATCAATAACTTTGTTACCATTATGATCAGTTGCAAAACACAAGAAACAAAGTGGTAAATTGCAGTCACTGCAGAAAAAATCTTTGATTTTTTGGGGATGGACAGTACAGTTCTCTACCGGTATTTCTTTACGCCTCTTCTGATAGACAACAACTTCGTGTTGATGTTGTTTTTTCAAGATGAATATCTCTGCATGGCTTACACATTCTCATGTGACATGTATTGCAGCAGTACTAGTAATTGAATGTTCTTGTACATTCTGGGTCAATATGTAGGCCACAAGTATGACATCTGAATATTACACTTCCCGATGATTTCCTTAAAAAAGAATCTTTTTATTATTTTCTTTGAGTTAAAATTCCTTTTTATTACATTTTCAACAGTGAAATACTGTGATTTATTTATTGAATAAAAGTGATATTCTCTCACAGTGTGAAAGGATACCAAAAGGATATTCTCTCGCAGTGTGAAAGGATATCAAATTAAGTAAAAAATAATTTCTGGCCTGTCATAAGATAGATATAATAACTAAGCATCTTGATAGAGGTAAAACTGCAAATTTCTTCTCAAATATGTTGCAAAATCCATGCTATGTAATGTTTTCAATCACACAACTGCTAAGCTATGACGTCTCAACCGCTCAACTATGACGTCAAGCCTATGACATTGTGTTAAGAAAAGACTGAGGCAAAGGGAAAATCAAAGAAAATGTAATAAACAGAAAATTCAATGTTTTGTAGATGAATATGGAATTTATTTCACTCGTGAAAATATAAAAAAATCCTGTCCCACTCGTGAAATAAATTCCATATTCATCTATAAAACATTGAATATCCTCTATTTACATATCTCCTGTTTTTAGTACAACAAATATTTAGAAAGAAAACATAGTTACCCGTTCCTACTGACTTCACGTTTACAAATCTTGTGGCTTCAACACTTTGGAATCAGTCATTGCCTGATAAAAATATGTGATAAAATGTCATTTCATATACAATCTTCTTTATATAGAAACACACGCCTCTGATTGGAAAATCACCTACAAATGATAACATATCCTGCGTAAACGATAACTGCGTAATTCAGGGACACAGACTAAAATTTAAATGAGTCGGTATAAATTATCTTCTTGATAAGTTTCTCGTCAAGCACTGTGAAATAAACCAGTACATGTATTCCTTTCACAAAGTGTGTCTTGTCTTTAAACACTGATTATTTCAGAAAGATTTTAGCAATTAATGTACCTCTTTTTCAAACTGCAACATACACGGACTTTCTAGATTAGGACAAGAAACCTCATGCTTGGGTGTCAATATTTGAGGTATCTTAATGCAAAGCTTTTCTATGCCTAGAAAGATAAAATAAAAAAGAACCATATTGTAGTCTTGTGGAGTTATCATAAAAAGCCGTTATTCTTGACTTTATTTAAAGTTCAAATCTGCACTGGGAAATCAATTTTCATGCTGATGAGAATGGCGTGCAGATAAGAACAAGATGCAGTGAAATAATTTTCATTACTTAGAACATGTAGTTAACCTGAACCAAAAAATTGTCAGTCAAATTAAGACATTACAAGTATATTTTTATGTAAAAATAGAAAATAAGATATTCAAAAATATATATTTCTTAGACACAAATCAATCAAGGAAAATTATTTCAGATTTTTCCACATAAACGTGGAAAGACCTCTTCATTTGCCTCTGTATATCATTTTTTTCTTCATGACATGTTGAGTTCACAGACATAATGGAAAGTTATGTAGTTCAACGATAATCGTCGTCCAAAACTTTTGAAAATTTGCAAATTTAACCCAGCGTCTACGCACTTTGACCCCTTTTGCAGTAATTGCTTTCTGTGCTATAAACCTTGTTATCGCTACTCAAATGAATATAGCCACTAAACTTCAATGATCTCCTCTATTCAATTATATGACTTTTCAAACTATTTAGTGCACAAAAAAATATATCGACCTCTTTTATTAGTTATTGCCCCTTAAAGTTTTTAACTTCTATGTGAATAAAAAAGAGTAAAAGCGACAAATCATAGAGACTTATCTCTGACCACGTATTGTTTCTAGCATGATAAATGTTGTTGTCGTTTCTCCTTTGAACCGTACACCGTAGATACATTTAAACTTCACCGATATCTTCAGAATCTCAAGGCAACTGTAAGCCATTGAAATGAGTTTGACTTTCTTAAAGTTTATTGATCACAAAATGATCGTATAGATATAGTTCTGTCCGTTGAGCAATGAACCCAAACGGCACCACCATCTAATCAAAGTATACCCAAGATTGTAACACTTATGGGCTAAGTCCCCATCTCATCACCACAGGAGATCTAGCCCTAAGCTCTCTAAATCTACTGAAACGTTTCCAATTCTATTGCTCATTCTTAAATATCTTAATAGTTACTTTGCATTTCCTCTCAAATTTTATTACTTGGTATCGAAGGGTTTGATTGGTCTATTCCGATCAAGTCCATTACAAAACAATTCACAAAAGTATAGTTCATTGTACCAACACCAAAATAAAATAGATAACGAACAGTAATCAGGCTCAAAAGTCCACTGAAACAGTACAAATTGTGAGCAGAGCAAACATGGACCTCTGAAAGCATGAGTGGTTGGATCAGGTGCAATGGAGGTGTAAGCATCCTCTGTTGACCAGTCAAACCCAATGTGATCAGGTAAACGGAAAAATCTGTGGTCAATTCAGTGTGAAAATAATGGCTTACAAATTGTATGAAGACGTTAGTCAACATTCGACCTAACGACATATTGCATTTGCTAACAATGTCATTGTATCGACCAGACTTTGCGAGATGTTGATATTAAACGAGACTGTTGATATCCTTGTATCATCAACTTGTTTACAAGTAGCCTGCCTTGTTTAAAAAATTGTTCGTACGAAAAACTTGCTCTTTCATAAAGAATTATCTGGAAGACACAAAGAGCATATGTAGGTGATGATGGTATATTGCTACATAGATAAGGGAAGTTGAGGATAGAAAAGTTGAAGTCATCACATTTATAAAAAAAGTTCAGTTGATAGTTTGCCATCAATGTCTCCCTCTCTAGGAAAATTTCAAAATACGAAGCAGATATGTTACACTCTTGTATTTCGAGTTCACTGGGATATATCGAATCAACATATGAATGAAAATAATTACTGTTAATTTATGAAATGTCATCGATATATCTAAATGTCGAATTGAAGGACAGAGTAAGAGACTTTTTCTTTTCATGTAGAAGATTTTGAATAAATTCTGCTTCATAGGAATACAAAAACAGGTCTACCTATAATGGGGCGCAATTTTTACCCGTACTTATTCCATCAAATTGTTGGAAATCCTGGTATCCAAGGACTGTCAATGAGGATAAGGAGCTGCGATGCAGAGCTCCTTTTGTGATGGGTTGTGAACTGAATCCTTAAATATAAAATCATGGATATACCTTGAGGGTTGTGTCATTTTGGAGTTCATTGATTAACAGACAGAACTACAGGGACATGTGTAAGCGGCAATGTAATGGTAAGGCAGCAAATAAAAAGAAACATGAATATCCCCTGAGGGTGATTTGACCTATACGCTGGAAGACCTCTCTCTTACATGTAGCTCTTATCCGCTGACTTTTTGGAAATTGTGGATATTCAATTCTTTTGGCTTCAGTGTTTGGAAAATATTAAAATTTTTGTATATAAAGACTACTTTGGTTTACTCTGAGATTTAGTGGAATATATTCTGAATATATGTATACATTCCTATCCTTTTCAATCACCTTCTGAACAACGCAACACATTTTACTGTAAAGCTAATAAATATATATTTCTAAATAGCCGATTGATTGACATGTCGACGTGTGTTTCGGTTAAGGATAGAAAAAATAAAAATGAATACCGAATTTTAAAGCCAACAAAAAGCTGTATATGACATCAATATCATATGAAAATTTTCACAGCGATAGTTTTTTCTAATCATTCAATCTCAGTGTAACACATAAATAAAATTAAAAAAAAAACAAAAACTTACAACTTTGGACTTCATCTACATTCAGACCGATGAAATTGCGCAAGCATCAAACAACAACTGTTACCTTGAAAAACTATCTGCTTCATTAATTTTTATCCTTGAAATAAACATAATTATATGAATATTCAAATACTTGTAACTTTTTGACAAATTGCATATATTTTAAATAGCTTTATCAAGCTATATAGCTAAATCAAGAGACTGTGCTAAACCTGCCCATGAAGACAGCTATAGAATATTATATAAGATATAAATACCTGTTCATGTTGTTCATCCGTCTGTGCAGGTTCCTCATTATCTTCCCCTGTGTCTTCTCCTTCCTTAGTCAACTCTGCTTCTCGGCCTCTCTCAAAGTCGAGAATAATCTGCATACAACCAAAAGCAGTAAGGATTATACTCATCTAATATTCTTTAAAAAATTATTCTGTGCAAGTATTATTTTATATTTCGTATTTCTTTTATGACCGATTAGCTAGGGGTGTCCACATTGAGGCTTGAACCTACAACCCATAGCTTAAAATCCAATGCTCTACCGACTGAGCTAAAGGGTTAACCCACTACGCAGCTAGGTTAAGGACGCCCATGAAATATACGCCTTTATATATTCAGGGGAAATTAATACAATTTTATTTTTTTTTAAGAGCACTAGTTTTGATAAATGTGAGTTGTGGTGTTTGCATTTGTATATATCGGGTCTCTACTGAGTTCGGCCAAAGTGACATCGCTTACATCAGCTGTTTGTCACTTGACAGGTTTAAAATTGGACCATATATATGTACTACTTCAAAGATCGTAAAAGTTCAACGATATACGGGCATCTTTCCGCTATAAAATTTATTTTGTTTTCTTTGAGACAAATCCCTTAACCCGAAAAGTGCTGGGAGCAACTTCCTCATGCTCGAGAATTGTTAAAAATTTAACTGTCTTTCTATAAACTCAAGATAAAAATGGCATACGCATTGGAATAATGTTAGATTACGGAATAAATAAACAATGCACAACCAGCTCCCAGCACTTTTCAGAATAGTAGGAATAATAGCTACACGTGTTTAAAAATTGAGAATTTATAGTGAAGCGGATATCGTTGAACTTTGGATATTTTCGAGGGGCTGGACCCCTCATTCTAGCACGTTACTGTACAAATGTGCTCCCTACGGCTTTATTTAAAGCCTACACATTATCAGTTTAGTTTGATAATAAAATGTGGATTAATATATTTCAGAATATGTCTCTCTTTTGGTCTGACTACGCATGTTTTGTATTTATTTTTATTTTTACAAGCTACGATAAAAGCTTGATCCACGCCTCAAGTACAGAGAAACTGCGTGTCAAACTAAGAAATGACGTCATCTCAGTAAGTAGAGCGAGATAAAGCCGGCTTTCATTCTGCATACACTAAGAGCTATTATGGCAAGATAAGTTGCACATCCATTTATCTTTATAATATTTGAGAAACGAGAGTGTTTAGTGTGTTTCAAAAGGAAAATATAGTATTTATTCATCGTGATTCATTTGTATTGTTTTAACGTGACGTCATAATAGCTTTCCCGAACCTCTGCATTGGCTGACGTGTTTATGGGAGTCCTTAACCTTGCTGCGTACGTAGTGTTAGTAGGAGTGTAGCTTCACTATTTATAACACATAGTCACTTTAAACTCTGTTACACTTTCAATGCGCAGTTGTTTATTTATTTACTCATTAGTGGTGCAGAACTCTCTATACCCAAATAAAAGTCATTGTAAATTCCATTTAAGTGTATGATGAAATATATGGAGATAACGAACAGTATTCAAGCTCAAAAGTCCATTAAACATTACAAAATAGGTGCAGAGCAAACACAGACCTCTAAAACATCAGAGGTGGGATCAGGTGCCATGGAGGAGTGAGCATCCCCTGCCGACCGGTCACACCCGCCGTGTGCTCCTTGTCATGAAAAGGAATAACGGCAAAAATCCGTCCACAATACAGTGTGTAAATAATGGCCTAACAATTAGTATGAAAAACGTCAGTCAGCATTTGACTCAATGATAAATTGTATTTGCTGACAAGGTCGTTGTATAGTCCATAGAACTTACGAAATGATGTCTTTATACGAGACTGCTGATATTCTTGTTTCATCAACTTGTTTGTCAATAATTTACTTCATTTTAGAAATTGTACATACGTAGAGCATGCTCTTGCATATCGAATCAACTGAGAGATATAAACCCCGTTTGCTGGTGATGAAGGTATATTGCTGCATAAATAAGGGAAGATGACGATTGAAAAGTTAAAGTCATCACGTTTATCATAAAGCTTGGTTGCTAGATTACCATTAACGTCTTTTTCAAGTAAAATATCCAAATATGAAACAGATGTGTCAGACTCTGTAGTATCTTTTATTTCAAGCTCACTGGGATATATCGTACTGACATAAGAATGGAAATAACCGTTGTTAATTGACAATACGTCGTAGATATATCTCAATGTCAAGTTGAAGGCCACAGCAAGTGTTTTCTTCTTTTCACGTATAAGACTTTGGACAAATTTTGCTTCATATGAATACAAAAAAGGTCTGCTAATAACGGGGCGCAATTGGTACCAATGGGAATACCAATAGATTGTTGGAAGACCTGGTCTCCAAAAACCACATAGAAATTGTCAATCAGAAACTCAAGCAACTTTTTAATGTCAACTTCAGGGTATTTGTGTGTACAATCAGAATGTTTTTTTAACAAAATAATTTTGCAAATGACCAATGACAAGGTAAGTAAATTTACGAGTTCCAATTTTATTGAAAAAACAGCTTTCAATATCAAAAAGCCTGGATTGTAATTTATCGTGGGGAATGGTTGTGTATAAAGTTGAAAAGTCATGTTTTTAAGCTGTTGATTTTTGTAAAATCTTGTGATTTCAAATTTTCCAAAAGTACCTTGGAATTTTTAAATATCCACATCTGATTTACACCACTTCTCAAATATATTGTTGCACAGTACTCTTGAAGTTTCTCCTTCACTACTGTTAATATCTTAGTGAGGAGTAAAGAAAAAGGCTTGGTGAACATTTACTGGAACCGGCTATATATCTTTGTAAGGATTTTTATGAAGTTTCGGAATCCAATATAGATAGGGTAATTCAAATTCATTTTGGTTGTTTGGAATATTAAAAATATTCAAAACTGACATAGGATTTTGAAGAATTTCTTCCTTAGAAAGAGAACTATGAGTATAAGTTGGATTACCACTTGTAGAATTAAATCCAAGTTCCCCTAAAATACATTTAATATAATGAGCCTTATACACAAAGACAATGTTGTTAACTGCTTTATCAGCAGATACCAGTACGTACTGATCATGTAATCTATCTAATTCTTTTTTCACTTCTGGATTATTGAAAACCGAAGGATAGATGGTTCTCATATTACCCCACAATCTTTTAATGCGCGATTTTAACATACATCTGATACATTTAATCCATTCTGACAAAGTGTCAGTGTCTTGTTTTTCATGTCTGGCCATCGAATGGCGTAATCCTCTACAGAATCCATAATGTTTATGAAATTCCGACGCCAGTTGAAGGATCGGGGTTCCCTATATTTAGGACCTTTTAAAATTAGTGGTCTAAGGTCCTCATTATTAACTATATTTACGTCACCAGTAATAACGTGTCCAGCAGGTTTATAGTTATAGGGTGAAGAAAAACATGAACACGATATAATTTGGTACAACTCTTTACTATGCAGCTATACCAATTTTTCACAAGTAGTGCATTGTCCTTATAAACAAAACCATTAGTAAAAGACACACGAGCTGGTTGGTCCCTGTTCGAATTTCCTCCACACTTGTTTGAGAATTAAGACGTAGGTTATATCATTAATTTATTATATAAACTAAATATTTGATTAGGAAAAATAAAAAAAAATTACATATACCCTTTGAGTCTCTCTCTTCTGATAGGCGCGTCCTAGTTTCTTTGGGGTACTGGTCATCATTGGTTAATTGGGCAACAATTCCTCCGAGTCAAGGACAATGGGTTGCTTTTCTGGGAGATTTATAGTCAGCTGAGGATTTCTTGGTGGTACGACATCTCTCTCAAGTTCTTTCTGCTTACAGGGAATGCCCATTGTAGCCATCAATCTGAACTTCGGAGGGTAGGAGTCCTCTGAAAAATGCAGCGAGCACAACACTGAGTGTTCGGTCGGGCCGCTCCATTTTTTCCTGTTTCTTTGCACAATTGAAGTCCACTGTCTTAGAATCTGTGGCCTATCAAAGGGGAAATAGTGCAAACTAATTCCATTTGTCTCTGTTTTAGTCATGCTGCAACCTGCAGCTACACATCTTCTCCCCCGAACAGTGGTGGAAGTGTCCTCGAACATTTTTCTATTTTGCACACTATATACACACTAAAAAACGAAATCCTACATCGTAAAATTAAAACTCGTCTCTACTGAAAACACTATATACACTTAATCCATCTAATAATGTTGAAAACACGAAGAAATCTACTGAATGCTACGATATACTTCTTGGCGGGTACATGTTCTAGAGGGTACATTTTCTGACGTCACGGCCATCTGGTTAGCAAAAGCGCGCCTTTTAGTAAACCGTTCCGCTGTGATTTTGGGTTTTTTCACAATGTCTCGAGTAAAACACGACGTACTTTGATCAAATTTTTGGAATAGTTCTATTTTTTTTAAGAACAATTGAGTAAATAAATAGCGTTTCCAACCGCAGGCACCCTTTAAAAAGCAAGGTTACTCCTGTACGCCCAATTGTCCATAATGTTTTATAGAAAGAGAACAATTTTCAAATTAACTAGATAGTATAAGTAAAGAATAAAATTCATTTTATAAAGTTCAATACATGTATAACATTCATTAATCTGGAAACGTACAATCTACAGAATTTTCAGATTTTTGATACTTACCTGTATGGATCGATATACAATTAAGATGAAAAAAAGTTATGAAAACAATTATCTAAAAAAAAAAAGAAGAATTAATAGCATATTCCAGGTAATTTAAATCTTGCTAAAGTCTAAATTTTGCCACCTTTCAGGACTTTCGCCTCTTACTCCCTGCCCCCTCCCTCCGCAATTTTTTCCCAAAGTCACCCCCCCCCCCCAAATGCATCAACCAGATATGACACCTCATTTCCCCATTTCTTTTGAAATCCTGAATAACACATGATCACTAAAAAAATGGATCAAGCAACCGTGCAATTCGTATCTTTCTAAGGAGTTGCAAAACAAGGCGAAGTGTTCGTTTGGGAAAAACCTTTCAATAGATTTTATCATTATGTATTATGAAATATTCCATTACATAATTTCATAAAGCAGACTCGAGAATAAAAGTCCCTTTTCACATTGATATGGGTTTTATAAAATTCCAATTACGGAAGAGGGTGCCTTTCTGAGATCGGGACGGACAGGGAGTCAATGTACTAAAATTTATTCTGCAACGGGAAAGCAAAAACTAGTATTTGAATCTGCACTACCTGGAAATGCCTGAATATTGATACCATTAATCATAGCCCTGCTGTTTTTATCCCCTTACTGTGACCCCACCCTGCCCCTGGGGCCAAGATTTGAACAAACTTTTATCTTCACTACCTGAGGATGATTGCTTCAAAATATTACCTATCACATCGATGATGTTCTTGAGAAGTTTTTTTTTAAACAGGTTTATCCATATATTCTCATTGCTTCTAGAATCAGGTTTTTGGTTTTAGGAAGAAATGAAAACAACGCAATATTTGATATGCTGAAATATTTAGTTTTATGTACATGTTTATCGATATTAAAGGGTAAAATTATTGATATAAATTAAAGCAATTTTTTTGTTCACAATAATCATATTTTTGTCATATTCTAGTAAATATAAAGTATGTAAAGTAGCAATTATCATATTGTAATTTAAGTACATTGTTTTTAATGAAATAACAGTTTATTTGAAATATATATTCTTATATCATTATATGTGTCTCGATATGAGTGAAAATTCTCGAGAGGGACATTAAACAACAAACAAACAAACAAAAACGTATGTCACTATGTATTCTGAGTAATTATATTTATCTTGTACACCAGAATGTACAGCAGAATAATTTTTTTTTGATGTGTATAGATCGTCATTTATGCTTTATGTAATACAATGTATAAGTAATGCTTTTGTATAAATTCTCTCCTTTAGTATTCCCATGGATCTCAATAAGTTTTTTCATTCTTTGCTATATATCGTAATTTTCCACTCTTTAAATATAACTCTATTCATTCCCACTAATGTCTTCATTGTGGGTAGAATAGACGATGGCGATTAGTATTCTTTAATCCTCTCCTGATACAAAGCTACTTTATGCTGATGGCGTTTTTCATATGAAGATGGACATCTCTGCATGTTTCACACATTCTATTGTTCTTGCCTGTTTTTCTTGATCTGCTATCAAATAGCTAAACAATAAAGTCTCTTAATTCTTCAAATAGAGAAAGCCTACGTATTTATGCAGTTTTTGTCTTTAAATCTTACATAACCCACTTGTCCATGCATAAATTTTTTTTATTTTCTGCTTTACGATCGAATGTCCCGGTATAATTTTAAATCTATAGGAAACGATAATTAATTCTTACTAGCATCATCTGATTTTTAGCGGGAAAGGGACGCCATACATTTTAAGGTACAAAATAAATAACACGCCGTGAGTTGAAATTTTCCTAAAAGTTTTACACTTTGTGAAGAATTCACAAATTAGAAATAAAGTTTGGGGAATATGTTAGTGGAAAATAAAGTAAAATAACATGTTATCATTAAGTTTTGGTAATGGCATTGAAAAATAATCACTTTGTCGTGACTTCCATGCTACCCTAGCTGTGTTAGTCATTCTGCTTCATAGGTCTGCTAACAAAGGGGCGCAATTGGTACCCATGTCATTCTGAATTATTTAGACTAAATTACATACAATGAAAATAAACCACCAAGACACTGGTGTACAAGTAACACTAACTGACATCATGTGCTTTTGCTTTATTGTCTTGCTTTTACAAAAATTTGCACGGGATACCCGATTTCGCTGATTCAATGATACCACGATATCGGGGACTATAGGCGATTCACGGATAATACCCGATTTCGAGTATTCTCTCCAGCCTGTTAAAAGGATGCTTGTGTATCTGATTGACAATATCTATGTAGTTCTTGGAGACCAGGTCTTTCAACAATCAGTTGGAATTTCCATGGGTACCAATTGCGCCCCGTTGTTAGCAGACCTACTTCTGTATTCATATGAAGCAGAATTTATTAAAAATCTTATACATGAGATGCTGTGGACTTCAACTCGATATTTAAATATATCGACGACGTATTATCAATTTACAATAGTTATATCCATTCATATGTCGACACGATACAACCAAGTGAGCTTGAAATAAAAGATACCACAAAGTCTGACATATCTGGTTCATATTTGGATATTTTACTAGAATAAGACGTTAAAGGTAATCTTACAAAAAAACCTTTATGATAAAACGTGATGACTTTAACTTTTCAATCGTCAACTTCCCTTACTTATGTATCAATATACCCTTATCACATGCATATTGGGTGTATACCTCTCAGTTAATTCCATACGCAAGAGCACGCTCTACGTATGAACAATTTCTAAATCGAGGTAAGTTATTGACGAACAATTTGATCAAACAAGATTATCAACAGTCTCTTTTAAAGTCATAATTTCGTAATTTCTATGGTCGATACAATGACCTTGTCAGCAAAAACAATTTATCATTGAGTAAAATGCTGATTGATGATTTTCATACTAATCTTTAGGCCACAATGAATTCCTGACGGATTTTCCGTAATTTCCCGATCATTGCAAGGAGCACACAGCGAGTGTGACCGATCGGCAGGGGACGCTCACTACTCCATGGCACCTGATCCCACCTCTGATGTTTTTGGAGGTCCTTGTTTGCTCTACTCCCCATTTGTATTGTTTTAATGGGCTTTCAGCTTGAATACTGAGAGCTATCTCCATATTTTATTTCAAAAAGCTACTCGACATGCACCAGAGTTTTTTTTTTTTAACATATTAAACTTGGAACACAGGTATACAACACAATGGTACACATTATAATTTCGATATTGTGTAGTGGTTAAAAAGTGTTAAGGCGCTTTAGTGCTTAACTGCGTGAATGTAACATAATTTAAGACACATCACTGCTCATGGTTAATTGTTTTGGAGACTTACAGAATAATGTTAAATAGTCGTTTTCAAAGAGTTTATTTAATTGAGAAATGTGAGTCACGCAGATCATCGTATAGTGGCTCCTAGCGTCTCTTAGATCGTCGCTCCGAAGATCCCCGCTCAGATGAATGCGGCTCAGATGAAAGCACTTGGCAAAGTTTAAATCTCATTTTTATAATATACAATGCATAATACTCATCAAACAAGTCATATTTAAGTAAACAAGTTATACAATAAATTGTGACAAAATCCTGAAATTTTATTATATTAATTGTAATTTAGACACAAACTTTAATAAGCTTCAGTTCAACATCATAGTATTGTGCAAAAGTTAATATAATATCAAGATAATTTGTAGCAATGTCCAGTTACTGTTCCTGTATCGACGTTCCAATATAGATAAACATTCTGGTAGCCTACACTGTCCTAAATCCGATTACCAGGTTTGTTTATTATTATGAAAAAGTCTTACACTTTCATACCCCGATTGGATTATAGGTCAATGAACTCTATCGAGTACATTTTTAAAAATTAGTTTATCTTTTTTTCCTGATTACATAATTGTCTCAAGCCCTATAGATTTACATAATCCTGGAAAACCTTGTAGTTTAAATGTCTGTCTTTAGGATACACTTGTACACATTGACGGTAAAACGTTCTGTGGCAACATAGATTCTTTGTTGATTATCAACACAGATAGCTCGCGGACATTCACCTGCTAAAGGTAGGAGAGTCAAGAACTGGCCGTCCTGCGCAGGTAGATGGACACTGTGGGAAACCTGACCACAATAAACGCTGCTGCACACTAAAAATGCCCCTGAATATCGGTACAGATACCATAGGGAGTATATACACCTTCAGAATTGTGCCCAGAATAAGAGAACTGATATTCTCCCGATTTGTTTACTACAACCACGTTACCAGGCACGTAGTCAGAAGTACAAATGTCACCATTAATGTTCTGTGTGACGTACGACATGCTTTGATATAGTTTTATTCCCCCAGCATCCCTCTGAATGTCCCGGATCTTTGTGCCTTCCTTGTTATATGTGGACAGTTTCCATTCTTTGTCTCTCTTCATCCCCAGCAGAATGCCTTCATTGATGACTGAAGAATGAATGCACCATGGCAACCATTCTTC